TGTGGCCAGGAGTTTGAGACTAGCCTGGGCAACATAGTGAGACCCCCCCCCCATCTCTATAAAAAATAAAAAACTTAGCCCAGAGTGGTGGCATGTGCTTCTAGTCTCAGCTACTCAGGAGGCTGAGGTGGGAGAATCACCTGAGCTCAGGAGTTGAAGGCTGCCGTGAGCTAGGATGGTGCCACTCCACTACTCCAGCCTGGGTAACAGAGCAATATCCTGTCAAAAAGTAAATAAAAAATAAAACTAGTGTGTGTATTGGAAAGGTAGAATTAAAAATGTTGGCCGGGCATGGTGGCTCACGCCTGTAATCCCAGCACTTTGGGAGGCCAAGGCTGGCGGATCACCTGAGGTCAGGAGTTTGAGACCAGCCTGGCCAACATGGCTAAACCCCGTCTCTATTTTTAAAAATACAAAAATTTGCCAGCCTTGGTGGTGGGCTCCTGTAATCCCAGCTACTTGGGAAGCTGAGGCAAGACAATCGTTTCAACCCGGGAGGCAGAGGTTGCAGTGAGCCAAAATCACACCTCTGTACTCCAGTCTAGGTGACAGAGTGAGACTCCACCTCAAAACCAAACCAAACTGTTGATAGTGGTTATTCCGGTGACGGGATTACAATCAATTTTTATTTTGTCTATTTTTTGATTATGTAAAGTTTCAAAGGTTTCTACCAGTAGCATGTATTTTTTTGGGGAAAGGGGTATTTTTGTTGTTTTGTTGTTTTTTTGTTATTGTTGTTTTTGAGATGGAGTTTCACTCTTGTTGCCCAGGCTGGAGTGCAATGGCGTGATCTCAGCTCACTGCAACCTCTGCCTTCTGGGTTCAAGTGATTCTCCTGCCTCAGCCTCCCAAGTAGCTGGGATTACAGGCACGTGCCACCACACCTGGCTAAATTATTTTGTATTTTTTTCGTAGAGACGGGGTTTCTCCATGTTGGTCAGGCTGGCCTCGAACTCCCGATCTCTTGATATGCCCGCCTCGGCCTCCCAAAAGTGCTGGGATTATATGCGTGAGTCATCACGCCCAGCTTATGTTTTTTTAAAGATAGCTTCAACCTTCAAGTTCTGCTCCAAGAGCTATTCAGGGCCCACCCTGTTGCCATCACTGGAAATATGAGTTTGGAAAGAGGTTTGCAGATTCCTCTGTGATCCCCAGTTCCTGAGATGGTTTTGCCAGGTCTCAGACTGTATTTGGGATCCCCAAATCACAGGTAGTGGTAAGAGTGGTAGATGCCCTGGCCCTGGCCTGTTCTGGAGCACAAAATTCCTCACGTGTCACAGGGAACCGGAGCTGTCCAGTATGAGGACCTTAAGAGTAATTCCTCACACATTTGGGATTGCGACACCCTATCATTGTTTGATTTTGCAACCCTCCTTCCCCTTTCAAAAAGCACTGAAGGAATACATGCAGCCTTTGCATATTCTGCTGGGTACTTTTCCACACATGGAGTTGAAAAGAATTAACATGAATTTGGCTGCAAGACTACCCTCCTTCCCCGACCCCTCGGATAATTGCTGGCAATCAATCCGGGGTGTCCTCAGTCGGAGTGAAGGATGGCAGCTTGGAGGAGCCGTGAAGGCAGGGAGGCCACCCCAGGCCTAGGAGTCCACCTCCAGGGCCAGATATACCTGGGCTATTCCCACACTACCCCCGCCACCCCCCCCACACACACACAAAAGGTTTCCAAGGCCCACTCCCCCCACATCCTCTCTACTGAAGTCTCCCCTCCTGGGAAGGAGAGCAGGAGGGGCCTCCACTCCTGGCATCCAGCCCCAGTGGGTCCACACCCTCAGCACAGCCCTGGAGCAGAAAATGTTCTTAGAGCCGATGTGCGAATCAGACCGTTTCTGTTTCCTCAGATGGGGTGATATTACTCCTGGTGCAGACCCAAACCCACTGTCCCACCAAGTTCCACAAGTGGAGCTAGTCTTATTGCTATTCAATATATTAAATCTTTCTGGAAACTTCAGTGACCTTGGAAACTCTATTCTCCCTTACACGTGGCTCCACTTGTCCATAATAATAAGTCCATAATAATAACTGTAATAAAAACTATAGCTTCTGATTATTACGCTCCTTTTGTACCAGGCACATTACAAACATGCAATACCCACAACAGTCTTTTAAAGTTGACACAATGATTCCCACTTCACAGATGAAAAGACTGGGGTTCCAAGAAGTTATCTGTGCCAAGTCACACAACCACCGACAGAGACAGGAGTCAACCCACACACGCCTGACCCCAAAGCTTATGCACTGTCCTGAAAGGTCACTGCTTGAGGGAACCAAGAGAACATATAATCTACTCCCATTCCATTGACAAGACAGCTAAGCTGGAAAATTCATTACAGTTACGTGGTACTTATGAGGTGCAAGCTGCTGCTTTAGCACTTCACAAACACCAGCTCACTAGATCACTGTGAGATGGGTACTATGTAAAAGAAACAAAACAAAACAAAACAGTTTCGCTCTGTCGCCCAGGCTGGAGTGCAGTGGCACAATCTTGGCTCACTGCAATCTCTGCCTCCTGAATTCAAGTGATTCTCCTGCCTCAGCCTCCAGAGTAGCTGGGACTACAGGCACATGCCACCACACCTAGCTAATTTTTGTATGCATAGTAGAGACGGTGTTTCACCATGTTGGCCAGGCTGGACTCAATCTCGTGACCTCAGGTGATCCACATGCCTTGGCCCCCCAACGTGCTGGGATTACAGGCATGAGCCACCACACCCAGCCTGGGTACTTATTTTTACAGATGAGAAGACTGAGGCACAGAGAGGAAACTTGCCTGAGGACACACAGCAAGGGGTAGAGCCTGGATAGGAAGTTAACTCTAGAGCCTGTGCTGCGTCTTCTACCCCAGAAGCAGAGGACCATCTCTCCTAAGTCTTGGTCCCTTGACCTGTCCACATCACCGCCATCCTCCTCATCTTTCTGAGAGTCCACTTCAAACTTAGACTTCCTCATCCCTCTCTGGGTGGTGGTGGTGTTCTCTTGTGAAACTGCTTTGCGAAATGACTTATTGTGCAAGGCCATATTTGATTAGATCACTATCCAGAGACCCTAAAGAGCTAAGCGTTCTGCAAGGTTTATCCGAGCAAAAGCTCAGGGCTGTTTCTGTGGAAACTGATCAATTAATTAATTAACAAGGGCTTATTGAAAGCAGTTTGTGTCCCCAACCCTGTGCTGGGCACCCTGGAGTCTGTGAACACAAAAGACACACAGACGTGGGTCCCACTAAAGAAACACAGCATATAAATGCACACTGTGTGCTGGGCCTGTGTACAGCCACATTTCAAAAGACGTATTGGACAGCCGGGCATGGTGGCTTACGACTGTAATCCCACACTTTGGGAGGCCAAGATGGGTGGATCACTTGAGGTCAGGAGTTTGAGACCAGCCTGACCAACATGGTGAAACCCTGACTCTACTAAAAATACCAAAAATTAGCCGGGCGAAGTGGCAGATGCCTGTAATCCCAGCTACTCAGAAGCCTGAGGCAGAACTGCTTGAACCCGGGAAGCAGAGGTTGCAGCGAGTGGAGAGATTGCAACACTGCACTCCAGCCTGGGCAACAGCAAGACTCCAGCTTAAGAAAGAAAAAAGATGCATAGGAGAGGAAAATCAGGAAAAGTTTTTAGGCAAGAGGTAGAATTTGAAATAGGCTTTTTATTTTTATTTTTTGAGACGGAGTCTCACTCTGTCACCCAGGCTGGAGTGCAGTGACCTAATATTGGCTCACCACAACCACCGCTTACTGGGTTCAAGCAATTCTCTGCCTCAGCCCCTGTGTAGCTGAGATTACAGGCACGTGCCACCACGCCCAACTAATTTTTGTATTTTTGTAGAGACAGGGTTTCACCATGTTGGCCAGGCTGGCCTCAAACTCCTGACCTCAAGTGATCCATACGCCTGGGCCTGCCAAAGTGCTGGGGTTACAGGCATGAGCCACCGTGCCTGACCTGAAACAGGGTTTGAAAGAAGGGGCAGGGTTCAGATAGCAGGAAGAGAAAGAGCAGTCTTTGCAGCAGAAGCAACAGACATGTTTTCTGCATCCAGATAGACCAGATCCTCAGAAAGAAACCAAAGAGAGAAAAGACCAGAATGGTTCGTGTGTTTTGGTTTGGCTTGGGTTTTTTTTTTTTTTTTTTTTTTTTTTTTTTTTTTTTTTTTTTCCACCAGAGTGAAATACAGAAAACCTCTTCCCCTTGCTGGCAGCAGCGCGATGATGCGTCTGGAATTGAAGGGCGCGCTGCCTCACATGTGCACCAGGGGGCAGAGCTGCCGCGGGGCTGCTGTAACTCCAAGAACAACCAGAGAGCAAGGGAAGGATCCCAACCCCTTCCTCAAATCAGCCGGCTGCCCGGCGGGAGCGCAGTTGGAAAGCAGCCGTCTTCTTAATCCGAGTTGCCTTCATATTCGGCCTAGCAGTTAGGGAAGAAATCGTGTATGAGGAAGTTGGGTGAGACTGAAAGGGGAAAGAGAAAGAGAGAAGCTTTAAAGAGACAATCTGCCCCACCCCCAGCAAGGAACCTCCATGTGCCATGAAAAGACTTGCAAACAGCAGGAAACGGTTCGGGTTACTCATGCCTCCTGCTGTAGTCTTGGTTGAGAAAAGTTTAATGCAAGGCTTAGGCTACTAGGAAAAGTGACCAACTGCTAGACTAAGACTGGCTTCAGAACAGCCGACTCCTGTTCCCTGGACAGGGGTGACCATTTCAGCCACTCTAAAGAGGAATGCTTGAGGCTTCAGGAAGTACACACTTCTTGGCCATCCCCCCAGGCCCTGTAGTCATGGTGTGGGTTGTGTGTCGCTGCAGATGTGACAATGGCATCCTTTAAGAGCCCTGAAGTCAATATTTAGCCTAAATATACAACCCACCGGCTAAGCCAGGCAACAGGGTTCTGAAGCCACAGAAGCACAGGAAGTTAGAAGCACTAGGGGATGTGGAACGCTATCTGAAGCTAGAAATCCTGACTTTTATCAGTTTCTAACTAGCTGTGCAAGTTTGGATAGGTGAATCAACTTCTCTGAGCTTTAATTTCCTTGTTGGCAAAAATAGGTTAAATTAGATTAAAAGGCTCCGATGTGCCTTCCAGCTCTGAAACTCTGAAAAACACAGACTCCTTCAGCCAGAGGAACTGGGGAATCTAGGGGGCAGGAATGGGGGTGGGAGGATGGTGACAGGCATCTTAAAGGATTAGCTCCCACACCTCTCTTCGCAATGGCAATCAGCTCCCCAGCAGTGGCGACTGCGGCACTGCCTGCCCCACCCCCGCCCTCTGGGCCCGGCGGTACACACCCACGGCTCCCTCAGAAACTTCTGGAATCTCACTGGATTCCTCCCAGGAATGCTTATTGCCCTTTAGAAGTGCAAATCGCTTTACATCAGCAACCCTGCCGCGCGATTATTAATCATCGCAATATTCTCCCCACCCCCTATCGTTCCCCCCTCCTGGAAGAGGAATTGCAGGGGTCCGGATTTATGAAGGTGATTCGTATTATTCATTCAATAATCAGTTAACTGGAGTTCATTAAGCGCCTAACAGGAGCAAGGTGCAGAGACATAGAAATCCAATCACCATAGGGAGCAGAACTGAAAGAGTCAGCGCTCAAAGAACTTCACTGATATTCCAGTTATGCCGTGGGGAGGGGGAACTTAGAGGGGGATGGGAGACCTCCCCTCACAAACCTGATGACAGTGCTGCAACCATTACGGACCACCCCCGCGGTTCGTTTTATCAGGCCAGGAAAAGGGAAGTGGCCTTCCCAAGGTCACTTATCCCCCGAGTGGTAAGCTGACCCCAGAACGGCGGTCTTCAAAGCTTTCCATTGCGCCATGAAGGAAAATTTTGAGTTGAAGCCTATAAAATACAGCGTTGGGCGAGGGATGGCATGATTTCCGGGCACAGAGTGAGAAAATCGTGATCCCAGATCACCCACCCACAACAGAGACCGCCCCAAATCTTGACTGCAGCCTCAATTAGCAGACGCGCAGGAATGCTGGAAGCAGCTCATCCATCAATCGCGGCACCCTCTCTTTGGGCCCCCAGCGCCCCTGCCCACGCCTCCGCCCGGGTGGGTCCCGGGGCAGGGGGCGGGGGTCTCGCGGCTTGGAGCCTTCACCCAGCATTCCAGGGGGCGGGGCAGGGACCAGGGGCTGGATGCAGCGGGAGTCCCGCCCCCAGCCTACCGCGGGCCGGCGGCGCAGTGGCTGAGCCAAATATGGGCATAGCGGAAGCGGCGGGCTGACGTCAAGGCGCCGGGTGGGGGCCGCGCTGCGGGGCGGTGACGGGAGTCGCTGACGGCGCCTACGTGTCACCGTGGAAACCAAACAGTAAACAGAGGACTCGCGAGCTCCTGGCACCGCCTGGCCCTGCGACCTGCCTGGAGCGAAGGGCCGGAAGCTGGGAAGGGCCAGGAGAAACCTTGGCCTGGTCGACGAGTGCAGGGGCGCGGCAAGGGTGTGGAGATGGCGGTGGAGGGGACGCTGAGAGGGCACTCCCAAACGTCCCTCCAGGAGGTCTCTGGAAGCCGGCGCTCCCTCCGCCCAGGGGCCAGGTCAGGAACGGAAGGAAGCCCTCCCGTCCCTTCTTTTTCTTTTTTTTGAGATGGAGTCTCACTCTGCCGCCCAGGCTGGAGTGCATTGGCGCGATCTCGGCTCACTGCAACCTCCGCCTCCCGGGTTCAAGCGATTCTACCGCCTCACACTCCCAAGTCGCTAGGAATATAGGCGCTCGCCACCGTACCCAGCTGATTTTTTGTATTTTTAGTAGATTTCACCACTTTGGCCAGGCTGGTCTTGAACTCCTGACCTTAGGTGATCCGCCCGCCTCGGCCTCCGAAAATGCTGGGATTACCGCGCCCGGCCTCTCCTGTCCCTTCTGAGGGCCTCCGTGCCTGCAAGGTTGTTGGTGATACTGATTTTGCTTTGTTTTTCCTAATGGCTAAGAGTTCAGGCATTGAAGACACACTGCCTGGACTCAAATTCCAGCGCTGCCATTCCGGTTGGGTGATCTTGAGCAGATCTCTGCACCCCAGACTACATTCTTATCTACAAAAATAAGGATAATAGCAGGACCTACCTTTGACAATCAATGAGGACTTCTAAAATGAGTGTGTGTGTGTGTGTGTGTGTGTGTTTGGAACAGTGTCAAGCATGTTGTGAGCCCAAATTAGTGCTGTTTGTTTTTATTCCCGGGCAGCACAAGAAAAACTTACCTAGTATTAGTAGTGCAACTCCTAAATCATACTACTGATGTAATTTTTTTTTCTTGAGTCTTCTTTAGATTTAAAACAAACAAAAGGGGGCCGGACGCTGTGTCTCATGCCTAGCACTTTGGGAGTCCAAGGCAGGAGGATCATTTGAGCCCAGGAGTTTGAGACCAGCCTGGGCAACATAGGGAGACCCTGACTCTGCAAAAACAATTAGCTGTGGGCATGGTGGCGCACACCTGTGATCCCAGCTATATGGGAGGCAGAGGTGGGAAGTTCTTGAGCCACTGTGGTCAAGGCTGCAGTGAGCCATGATTGTGATTACTGAACTCCAGCCTGGGTGAGGGAGGGAGACTCCCTCTCAAAAATAAATAAATACATAAATAAAAGGAATTTTTTGTTAAAGATAATGTTCAAATCAAGTAAAAATATTTGATGTATTAACTAAAATGTACATTTGTCAAATAAAAACATGGCAAAGCATGTATCACACTGCTTCACAGTTTTCAATTTTATTTTAATTATTTATTTTTTTAGAGATGGGATTTCACCATGTTGGCCAGGCTGGTCTCGAACTCCTGACTTCAGGTCATCTGCCCACCTCAGCCTCCCAAAGTGCTGGGATTACAGGCGAGAGCCACCATGCCCAGCCTTAAATTTTATTTTTTATTTTTATTTTATTTTTTTGAGATGGAATCTTACTCTTGTTGCCCAAGCTGGAATGCAATGGTGCAATCTCGGCTCATTGCAACCTCCGCCTCCCAGATTCAAGCGATTCTCCTGCCTCAGCCTCCAGAGTAGCTTGGATTACAGATGTGCACCACCACGCCAGATTAATTTTTGTATTTTTAGGAGACACAGGGTTTCACCATGTTGTCCAGGCTGATCTCGAACTCCTGATCTCAAACTCCTGACCTCATGATCCACCTGCCTCATTCTCCCAAAGTGCTGGGATTACAGGTGTGAGCCACTGCACCTGGCTAGGTTTAAATTTTAAACACAAAAACTCCAAATGGTTATATGAAACTGAAGCTACTCAAATTCAGTCAAATTACTTAAAAACAGAGGTAACACCATTTATCAAATTCAGATAAGTGATGTTACCTCTGTTTTTAAGTAATTTTTTTAAATGAAGCATACATTACATTATTCAAACTCAACAGTAATCCCAGCAACTGTTTAGAACTTAAAACAACAAAAGTTTTTTTAAGGAAGAAGTACTTTGTCACTGCCAACATTAGAATTGCCAGCTCATAGTGTTCATTTAAAAGGCAGACTGTGCAAAGACCTGAAAGGCCCAGAGGTATTCCAGGTCCAGACATGGCTGCTGGAAGCCATCTTTGGTGAGTGTGCCCAGTGCTGGCCTGGGTGCTCTGCCTGGAGGCTCTCATCCTCTTCTCCTAACAGGCCTGGATGGATCTCAAATCTCTTACACAGAGCAGGTGAGCAAGACCATGCTCCAGTTGAAGGCTCTGGAGTCTTCAGACCTCACCGAGGTTGTGGTTTACTGCTCCTATTGGTACAAGCTCTGAACCAAGTGGATGATCCAGCCCATGGCCGAGTGGCACTGACAGCACCAGGAGCAAGGGACGCTCAAACTTGCAGAAGCTACAAATGCCCTCAAATTAGGCCCTTGGATAAAGCGAACCAGCTTCCAGCCAATGTGATGGAGACCAGGATGTAGAGATTAGGTTGTGGCCAGAGCCGGTGTAGTTCCAGCTTGGCTTAAACTCTGCTCCAGCCTGATGAATAAGAAAATACCATCTGTTTGGGGGTCTCTGTCCTTGCTCTGAGTCCTGTTATGAATATCTTTTCTGAAGGTTCCCAATTAAAGGAGAAAGTTTTGGGGTTTTCTCATTTTTTTTTATTACGAATAAAGTTTTAAATAAGGAAAAAAAAATTTAAAAGGCAGACCAACTTTTGTTGGTTTTATTATTAGTTTGAAATTCTAAGCAGATAATGTGATTCCTTGTGGATAACAAATCCCAGGGTGACCCACAGAAATTCCTGCTTCCTGATACCCATGCCTTTGTGTAATATCCTCCATCTGAGTGCAGGTGGAACCTGAGACTTGCCTATTGGCAATAGAAAATGCAAAGGTGAGGGGATGTCACTTCTGGAATTATGTCTATGTATGACCCCATCTTGCTGGCATGCACTGGAGAGGTTCTGCTTGTGGGCTTGATGAAGTGAGCAGCTATGTTGAAGAAGTTTGCATGGCAGCCTCTAGGACCTAAGGGTGGCCTCCAGCCAAGAGCCAGCAAAATATCAGAGCTCTTAGTTATACAACCACAAGGAAATAAAGTCTGCAAACAACCTGAGTGAGGTTAGAGGTGAACTCTTCCCCACTCAAGCTTCCAGCTGAAAACACAGCTCAGCTGACAGCTTGATTTCAGTCTTGCAAGACCTTGAACCCAACACTGTTCAAGATGGACGGAGTTTGCTACATAAGAAACTGGCTATGCCTGGACTCCTCATTTGCAGAAACCATGAGATAACAAATGTGTGTTGTTGTAAGATGCTAAGTTTGTAGTAAATTGTTATATAGAAATAGATCACAAATACATTCTGATTGCCTATCCCTGGAACAGACTGCTCCCACCTCCCCGTACTTGGTATACTGTGGCTCTATACACACTGCTGAGGCCTCCCATCCTAAAAAGTTTCCATGAGAGAATTATAAGGAGTGTCAACTGCAGAGCACCCCCCAGTGTTGCTACTAGAACATCAAACATCTAAAAGCATCTAAGAATGTTGTGGTATGGGCACTTTAGGGCATTTTCTTCTTCTTTTTTTTTTTTTTTTTTTTGGAGTTTCGCTCTCGTTGCCCAGGCTGAAGTGCAATGGCATGATCTCAGCTCACCACAACCTCCGCCTCCCAGGTTTAAGCAATTTTCCTGCCTCAGCCTCCCGAGTTGCTGGGATTACAGGTTTGCACCACCACGCCTGGCTAATTTTTGTGTTTTTAGTAGAGACAGGGTTTCTCCATGTTGGTCAGGCTAGTCTCAAACTCCCGACCTCAGGTGATCCGCCTGCCTCAGCCTCTCAAAGTGCTGGGATTACAGGTGTCAGCCACCGAGCCCAGCCAGGGCATTTTCAGAGCAGTCACCTGATATCAGAGTTTTGAAGATAGAAAGGGAGCTTTGAGATTTTTGAATCCACCCATAATCTGGCATAGGCAACAGTCGCAGAGGGTTTCAAGCCTCACCCCAGGTCACATAAGCACATCTTTAAGGGCTGATGTTCACACTCTAGCAATGCAGTTAAGCACTTTGGGCTTTAAAGTCACAAAGGGCTGGATTCAAATCTCGGATCTGCTGCTTACCAGCTGTGTGACCTTGGTCGGCTTATTTAACCTTTCCTAAATTATTTTCCTTATCTTTAAAATGAGGACACGAATCGTATCTGCCTCATGGGATTGTTGTAAGGACTAAATGAGAGTGTTTATTCAACAAAATAATTATTGTGTGTTCATTATATACCAGTTGCTAGAGGTACAATGATTAGAAACCAAAGTCTTTGATTTAGCATGGCCTATAAAGTGCATAGCACAACCTGGCACAGAGCAAGCACATGTGAAACACTGGACGTTATCGATCTTCTCTCCTAGAGCTCCAGGTTCTGCCCCAACCATTTGCCTCCAAACAAGCTCTATAAACTCATATCGTAGAGCCTCTATTATGCAATTCCGGCTGCCCACATCTGCCGCTGGATACTCCCTGGGCATCGCAAACTCAACGTGTCCAACATATAACTTACCTTTTTACCCCCAAACCTGCTCCTCTTCCTATAGTCACAAAGCCACTGTTGGAACCACAAGCCTCCCATGTGTCAAGCCTGGTAAATCTGACAGTTGAGCATGGATTCCTCCCTCTCCCTCGCCTCCCCTACCCACTCAGTCACCATGTCCCGACCCCCTAATTACCTCTTATTCCCTCTCCTTTCCCACCACCACTGCCTTGGTTCAGCCTACACACAACTAAGTAAGCACCAGGCTCTTC